GCGCCATCAGAGGGACGCGCCGCTGCGAGATGGAGGGCGGCGGTGACGGAGGCGAGGCGCGAGGCGGCGGCGGCGGCGGCGGCGGCGGCGGCGGCGGGTCTCGGTGAGCGGCGGCGGGAGGAGGAGCAGCGGCGGTGGGAGGAGGAGCAGCGGCGGCGCTCGCTCGCTGTTGACGGGAGCGCTTTTGAGCCTGGGATCCCATGCCACTGCGACCGGCGTGCCCGGGAACGGAGATCGCGCGCGCGCCGCCACTCACGACGCGCGCGCGATCTTCGCGGAGTCGGGTCCCCAGAGGGAAGCGGTCTTCTCGGCCGACGTCCAGCGGCGCGCAAGGAAGCAGGCGCAGCGGAGGCGGCCTAGCACCGGCTCGGCGCCGGGCGGTTGCGCTGCCCGCGAGCCGCGTCCTGAGCCTCGGCAGCGCGCTGCGCGGCGCGGCGCTCGCGCTGCTTCTGTGCCGAGAGCGGCATGATTCGCTGAAGCTCCAGACTGCTCGGGTATCACGAGTTCTGGGGGTCACGATTTGCACAGGTGGAGGGGAAATTGGCGTACTCGCAGAATGTGGGTAAACGAAAGTAGCGTATACGCTACTATGAAAGAAGAAGCCGAAAAAACACGCCGGAGTCAGTCCGCCCGAGCCAGCCAGCTGCCGGCTCGCACGGCAGCCTCTTCCTCTCGACCAGCCTCAACTTCCGTACAGTCAGCATTTTGTCGCTGCGTGCTCGTGGCCAGCTGTGGCGGCGGTCGAAGTTCGCCCAGATTCGGTGACGAGCGCCAGACGATAGTAGTGTCTCTGTTCGCCCTGTGCATGTCAGGCCAGGCTGCAGCAGGGCACTACCATCGTGCTGCCCTGTTGCAGCCTGACTTTGCCCACTGTGCACAGTCGCCAGAGCACCACCACCGCCCGGCATCGTGTCACGGCGAGCTCCTTCTGCACCCGTTCGCGAGGCTCTCGCGCTGGTACACTTTGGCCATCTGCTGCTCGCGTTCGGCGAGCTCTTCTCCGCACAGGCGCGAGGAGGCAGTGTGCCGGCACAGTCGAGCCGGAGCATCGGGTTCTTGATGCCTGTGGGGTCAAGTTTGACCTTATGCGGCCTAATATGCAATAATAATGCTATGCTCTCACCCAGTCTGTTGAGATATTATCCCTCAAAGTCGAATTTTCGTTTACTGGTGACCATAGTAGTGTCTGTCTTGTTTGCGAGATCTTCAAACGAATCCTCCCTTAAAGTCTCGACAATCACTAAGCTGCTTATGTGGCACCGCA